AACATAAGCATGAAATTACCCAACAACACATCAATATTTTTTTTAAAAAATCCTGCCTGCTCTTCATGTCTATTTGTTAGGGCATGGAAAAGGAATGGGTCAGGACAATTAAAAGGCTGGGTCAAGACTGATACAAATTGAAATAAGATGGGACCGGCATTTGGGTACAGTACTGTAATAGGTAAATGACAAAAGCGGGGACGGGCTATTTCCAGGGGCCTGTTAGGAGAATAACCAGGGTAATATATAGGGGGCTAGGTTGTGTCCGGACAGTGTCTGGGCCGAGCTAGCACTGGCCACTCTCGAAGATTTGTTGAAACCACCAAGTCTTCAAACTCTTACAAAAGAGGGGAGGGATGGGGCTTGTCTTATTTCCCTTGGAAGAGTGTTCCAGAGGTGGGGGGCCACCACCAAGAAGGCCCTCTCTCTCGTCCCCACCAACCGTGCTTGTGACGGAGGTGGGAGCGAGAGGAGGGCCTCATGGAGGATCTTAGAGTTTGCTCCGGTTCCTAGATGGAGATGCGATGGCGAAGATAGGCAGGGCCCGAACTGTTTAGGGCTTCAAAGGTCATTAGTTCCACCTTGAATTTGGCTCAGCAACTTATCACAGCCAATGAAGCTGTTTTAATAGAGGCCTTGTTTGCTCCCTATAGTTTGCTCCATTTTTCCAGTTGTAATTTCCGGGCCGTCTTCAAGGGCAGCCCCACATAGAGCACATTGCAATAGTCCAATCTGGATGTAACCAAGGCGTGAGCCATCCTGGCCAAGTCAGACTTCATGAGGTATGGTAGCAGCTGGCGCATAAGTTTGTGCAATGGCCCTCCTGGCCACCACTGACACCTGAGCATCAAGCGACAGCGTTGAATCCAGGAGGACGCCCAAGCTACAGACCTGCACCCTCATCCCTGCACCTTAACTGATTTATAAGGCCATAAAGAAGATTCCAGCAAAGCATTCCAGCGGAGAAGCATGCGGGGAATGCGGAAGTGCTTCATCAGCATCGCAGATGGACGATGAAAGCGACAGCTCCCCTGGCGGCCAGAAAAAGTTAAATAGCCTCTGTGTATGTCTGTATATGTTTGTATGTCAAAAATTGGCATTGAATGTTTGCCATATATGTGTACACTGTAATCCGCCCTGAGTCCCCTGTGGGGTGAGAAGGGCGGAATATAAAAGCTGTAAATAAATAAATAATTAATAAATCGTTTTTCAGTCCTTTTTTTAGGCTGCAAAAGTCTCCCTCGGCTTATACTCAAGTCAAGGTTTTTTATTATTATTTTACTCTATTATTATTATTATTATTATTATTATTACATTAATCATTTTACTCTATTATTATTATTACATTTATTATTTTACTCTTTATTACTGTTATTATTACATTTATTATTTTACTCTATTATTATTGGGAGGATATGCAAACACATTTACACTGAAGAAGGTTAGAATAATGCTTTAATCAGAGGATAGTCTTATTTATTGAAAAAGATTTAACCTACATATGCCTCAATTAATGCAATTTTATCGGTATCTATTTTTTATTTTGGAATTTACCAGTAGCTGCTGCATTTCCCACCCTCGGCTTATACTCGAGTCCATCCGTTTTCACAGTTTTTTGTTGTAAAATGAGGTGCCTCGGCTTATATTCGCGTCAGCTTATACTCGAGTATATACGGTATATCTCTCGGCCATTTATCAATGGCTGCAATATATAACTGAATGAGATACAAGGTCCTTACCACATTGCTGACCTCTAAAATATGGTAAACTGGTTGCAAATAAGGCATCCTAACAATCTGTCTCTGTCCCCTCTTATAAAAGAAACTAGCTGTCCCCTGCCACGTGTTGCTGTGGCCCATTCTGTTGATCTGGAAAATAAAGTAATGAGAAAGTGTTGGTTTCTAACATATGTAATTTCTTTATGCTTGTGGGTAAACAGTATTTCTTGCTGTTTCTTTGTCAGTGATGATGTGGAGAGTGTCTTGTTTGCTTACTTTGGAACATGCAACATATCATTGTCCTTCTTCAGGGGTCCCTTTCAAATCTATGATACTATATCTGTGTGTGTGTGAATCATATCTATCTATATCTATGTCTGGATGGCTCTTTGTCAAGAGGGCTTTGATTACGTTTTCTTGCCCTGGTGAAGGGAGTTGGACTGGATGGCCTTGAGTATTTTCTGTTGGTCATGGGGTTCTGTGTGGGAAGTTTGCCCCAATTCTGTCGTTGATGGGTTTCAGAAAACTCTTTGATTGAAGGTGAACTATAAATCCCAGTAACTACAACTCCCAAATGTCAAGGTCTATTTCCCCCAAACTCCATCTGTGTTCATATTTGGGTGTACTGAGTGCTTGTGCCAAGTTTGGTCCAGATCCATCATTGTTTGAGTCTGATGTGCTCTCTGGATGTAGGTGAACTACAACTCCCAAACTCAAGGTCAATGCCCACCAAACCCTTCCAGTATTTTCTGTTGGTCATGGGAGTTCTGTGTGCCAAGTTTGGTTCAATTCCATCATTGATGGAGTTCAGAATGCTCTTTGATTGTAGGTGAACTATAAATCCCAGCAACTAACTCCCAAATGACAAAATCATAATTTTTTGAGGGATGGTCACTCCTTGTGTTGTGAGACGTTTTGTTGCCAAATTTGGTGTGATTTCGTTCATTGGTTCTTTTGTTTTTAAGGAACTCATTATGACCAGAGCATTTTTATATATATAGATAGAGGAAGAATACTGAATACTGTCCGTATGTTTGGATTATTATTCTAAAAGATATATATCAAAAGCTAAGTCTCATATATGTCAGTCCAAGGAAAATACTCAATGATCTTGGATGATTTTACAGCCCCAAAGAACACCTTCACATGATAATGCATTGCCTTGATTTGCAAGTTCCTCCATACGTAATTTGCAGTATATTACTTAATAGCCAAAGCTCAGGAAAAAAAATTACACTTCAGTGTCCAGAATCCAGCCGTGATGCATGAGCATGCTAGCTGGGAGAGGGGATTGTGAGAGCTGTAGAACCCAAAAAGTATTTTCCCTTCATGCTGTATCAGTAGCATCAAAATCACATAGACTTATAGAGTTGGAAGAGACACAAGGGTCATCCAGTTCAACTCCTTGTCATGCAGGAACATAGAATCAAAGCACCCCTAACAGATGGCCATCCAACCTTTGTTTAAAAACCACCAGAGAAGGAGACTCCATCTCACTCCAAGGTTCTAAGATCTTCCGGGGAGGCCCTCCTCTCGGTCCCACTACCGTCTCAAGCGCGGTTGGTGGGGACGAGACAGAGGGCCTTCTCAGTGGTGGCCCCCCGCCTCTGGAATGCCCTTCCAAGGGAAATAAGACAGGCCCCATCCCTCTCCTCCTTTCGTAAGAGCTTGAAGACCTGGTGGTTTCAACAAGCCTTTGAAAATGACCAGTTCTAACTCAGCCCTACACATTGTCTAATACGGCCTTATTCTTCCTACCATTACCCAGATTCTTTCCTCTAATCAGCCCCGGAATGAACAGCCACAGACCCGTACCTAATATTATTGTTGCCTGCCATAGCATTGCACTTAATTTCCGGGCCTCCTAGAATTTTTGGGCTTGCACAAATCTTGGCCCGGCCTTTTAAATTTTTAAATTGCCTTGAACAAGCAGGATTACTTTTAATATATGTGTGTTATGGTGACAACTTTTATGCTTGTATTTTGTTTTGTTACTCTTATGGTTACAAACAAGGACATCTAATCACCTCTCAACAAAAGTTTGCTCCAGGCACAGTCAGGCCATTGCATGCTAATCAAGGTGGTCAGTTGAAACATTCACACTTAGCTCCAGCAAACAAGAGTCCTTTGTCTCACCCACAGATATATAAACCCTTTTTCCTAGTTCCAACAGACCTCACTACCTCTGAGGATGCTTGCCATAGATGCAGGCGAAACATCAGGAGAGAATGCCTCTAGACCATGGCCATATAGCCTGGAAAAACCTACAACAACCCACTTATGGTTATGTTGTTTTTACTTTGTATGTTTTGTGATGTTACCTGGGAACCGCTCTGAGTCCCCTCAAGGAGATGGAGCAGTATATAAATAAAGTATTATTATTATTATTATTATTATTATTATTATTATTATTATTGTATATTCCACTACTGGCAGGAAGTTCTTCCTAAAGTGTAGATGGAATCTTTCCCCCTGCAATTTGACTCCATTGATCCGCATCCAAATCCCCAGAACAAAATAATAATATTTATTTATTTATTTATTTATTTATTTATTTATTTATACCCCGCTCCATCTCCCCCAGGGAGACTCGGTGCAGCTTACATGAGGCCACGCCCATCAATACAATACAACAATATAACACAAAAACATAGTAGAACCAAGAAAAATACATAAAATGCAAAATCAAAATAATATTCGACACAACAATATAAAATCAAGCATTAAAAACCCAGAAAAATTCCACTAGGCAGGGTCAGATTCAAGGATAAAAATTTTAAAAATTGTAAAACACTGGGAGATAGGACAATGTAAATTATAAGGAAGGGGCTCCGGGAATGAGGAAGGATTTCATTGCACAAACCATAAAATAAAGTACGTCTAAGGACATTTTGTGCAAAATGTGGCCCGGGAGAATGTTACATTCAATTCCTGAAAAGCACATTGGAATAACCAGGTTTTCAAATTCCTCCTGAAGATTGCCAGTGTGAGGGCTTGCCTAATATCTCCAGGGAGTGAGTTCCAGAGTCGGGGGGCCACCACAGAGAAGGCCCTCTCTCTCATCCCCGCAAGAGCCTCTCCGGAAGATCACAGAGATCATGTGGGTTCGTAAATGGCAATGTGGTCGTGACGGTAAGCGGGTCCCAAACGAGTCTGCAACTTCCTCAATGTGACATCCTTTCAAATATTAAAACATGGCTATCATGTCCCCTATCAGCCTTCTTTGCTCCTTCTGAAGCCAGTCTAGATAATCCCATTTTCCTCCTGTGCTCACACACTGACCTGCCTTCCGCACTGGTTTTGGTACAGTGGCCACATCTTCTCTTTCCTTCCACTTCCGGATCTGCTCCTGCCTCATCTTGAAGAACAAGATCTGCTTTTGCTCTTCACTGAGTTCTGCCAGCAGCTCTGGGTCCACATACATGTCGGACAGGATTTGCTTCAGCATGGTTGTAGAAGAAGCTTCTCACAGAGAGGAAGGAGTAGGAGCAAGAAGAAGAGAAGGCTGATCTGAGGAGAGAAGAGCAGGAAGAAGTCACTTTCTCTGCCGCCTTTCCAGCAGAAACACATCAGTGGCCAAAGGGGAGACAAAAATCTCTCCCCACCCTTAAGATACAGCAGGAATGCAGGCTCTCCACATTGCAGTTACTCTCACGGCGACTGCAACCTACTTTTAGCTCTTGGATTTCCTGCAAGGACTGACAAAGTAAACAAAGAGCTCAAAGAACACAAAGAAAAGGAGGACTTGGCAACACTTACACCAAAACCGAGCTCTTGTGTCCTGGACTAAGCAAGGCGTTTGTTCAAGGTAATGAATATAAAGCAGCCGCAACAAGGACCAGAGAGGAGTGTTCAGATCTGATGCCTCGTGGAAGTCCCCTCTGCTTTTAAACACTGGCTGCTACAAGTCACAGGTGTGGCTTACCTCTCTGACTCAGCAAGCTGTTCTGTTATGAGACCAGGAAGTCAAGGGATGGCTTGTAAAGAGGTGAACCCTAACCCTTTCCTGTCTCGCAGATCTTAAGAAAGTAAAGTGCTGGCAGGTGCCAAACGCCCACGGAAAAAGTGATAGGGCCAATGTCGGTAAACACCAATGTCAAGGAGTGAGATATAATTTATCTTCTGCGTGAACGGAAATGCACACCAGAGGTCCCAGCATGAATAAGGGTGAAAATAGCAGAACTGGGGGGAATGAGGTTCTGATCGGATCAATAGTATGGTGTAAAGGCTGTTTTGATGCTTCCCCCTCTGCACACACACAACTGCTATTTACATTTTTAAATGTGCAGGTTAATTGCATTGATGTTTATTTAGTTCGATCTTCGGGGGAGGCCCTCCTTTCGCCCCTGCCAATCTCACAAGCCCGTCTTGTGGGCACAAGGAAGAGAGCCTTCTCCTCTGTGGCCCCCCGACTCTGGAAGTCATTACCTGGAGAGATCAGGAAAGCCCCTACACTAGAAACGTTTTAAAAGAACCTTAAAACCTGGCTCTTCCGCTGCGCCTTTGGCGAGTAGGTGCACAACATGACACTATTGCTCCCCTCAACACTTCTGTCACTGGAGTACACGCCCTCCAAATATGAAGCCTGAAGTCATAGAATCATAGAATCAAAGAGTTGGAAAAGACCTCATGGGCCATCCAGTCCAACCCCCTGCCAAGAAGCAGGAATATTGCATTCAAATCACCCCTGACAGATGGCCATCCAGCCTCTGTTTAAAAGCTTCCAAAGAAGGAGCCTCCACCACACTCGGGGCAGAGAGTTCCACTGCTGAACGGCTCTCACAGTCAGGAAGTTCTTCCTCATGTTCAGATGGAATCTCCTTTCTTGTAGGTTGAAGCCATTGTTTTGCGTCCTAGTCTCCAGGGCAGCAGAAAACAAGCTTGCTCCCTCCTCCCTGTGTGACTTCCTCTCCATATCATTTACTGCATAACACTTGCTGCAGGCCCGTAGCCAGGATTTCGTTTCGGGGGGGGGGGGGGGCAAAAAATTTTCAGGGGGGTTGTGGGGGGGGGGGGCTGAGTTTTGGGGGGCTGAGTCTGAGTGAAAGAGGGTCTACCCTAGCAAACCTTTTGTAGTTACTCCAATACCCCCATGCATATGGGATATATTGAGTATGGTGATCAAATCATGATATTAATAAACATAACAGTTTAAATAATGCACCAGTAAGGCCTTTTGCGCGAACCACCATGAGAATTTCGGGGGGGGGGGGCTGAAGCCCCCCGAGCCCCCCCCCCGGCTACATGCCTGCTTGCTCGTATAACTTGTCTCCGAAACGTTAAGAGTGAGGGAGCCAATCAAATCTCCTCAGGGAGGGCGTTCCATAGCCGAGGAGCCACCACAGAGAAGTCCCTGTCTCTCGTTCCCTCCAAACATACTTGTGATGAAGCCAGGATCGAGAGCAGGGCCTCCCCGGACGATCTCAAAGTCCTAGAATCTAAGGCCCAGATGGTTCATAAGGGGAGATGCATTCAGACAGGTAAGTCAGGCCAGAACCGTTTAGGGCTTTATATGCTAAAGCCAGCACTTTGAATTGTGCCCGGTAGCAGACTGGCAGCCAGTGGAGCTGGTGCAGCAGAGGAGTTGTATGCTCTCTGAGCACCACTCCTGTTAACATTCTGGCTGCCATCCATTGGACCATTTGAAGCTTCTGGACAGTCTTCAAAGGCAACCCCATGTAGAGTGCGTTGCAGTAGTCTATACGAGATGTAACCAGAGCGTGGACTACCGTGGCCAAGTCAGGCTTCCCAAGGTACGGGCACAGCTGGTGCACAAGATTTCGCTGGGCGAATGCTCCCCTGGTCACCGCTGAAACTTGGGATTCCAAGCTCAGTGATGAATCCAGGATCACACCCAGTGAACCTGTGTCTTCAGGGGGAGTGTAACCCCATCCAACACAGGCTGTAACCCTATGCCCTGTCCGGCCTTACGACTGACCAGGAGTACCTCTGTCTTGTTTGACTTCATTTAGTTTGACTTCAGAGCAAAAGGTAGCCCCTGAATACAGAATGTTTACTCCAATTAAGAAAGCCAAAAGACGTGTCTTTTGGAAATATGTGTGGAACAATGTATATTTAAAGTTTTACGAGTATATTATGACTTGAAGTTAAACTATTATACTATCTTTCCTGTGTGTTTAGGCTATTGAATAGGACCAACATCCTGCATGATGTCAATGGGCAGGACACACATTGTAATTTCTTTCTTTCGTTCATTCTTAAATCTAATTTGCACAGGTGTAGAATCTCTCCTAACAGAAACTGAAAACAAGGAGAGCATTTCTACTGGCTCAAGAATGTAATGCAGAAACGTCACGGCAATAACAAACTCCCTCCACCCCCACTCTGGGGAAAAAGTTATAATTATAAAATGCTTTGCACATGAATGGCATCATGCTGAGACATGTCATCATATAAACAAATGGTGCATGTATAGTCTGAGTGGTGTTTTGTATCAAAAGCATTGCATAAATTAGTATAGAACTGATAAAAATAGAAGGAGCGCAGGTGGCTAAATATCTTTTGACCAAAAAGGGGCATTGTCTGTAGTCTCCAACAATTCTTCCTCTGTACATGAAGCAGGGCATAGTGGACAAGCATACAGATGTGGAGTTGTCTGTTCTTCACAGTCACACAAGGTGTGGGATTCTTTTAGGTAGAGTCATTTTGCCAGGTTGTCTTTTGATCTGCTCACTTCACTTCTGAGTTTATTCAGGGACTTCCAAGTTTATTTATTTATTATTTATATATTTCGCACATTTCTACCCCGCCCTTCTCAACCCCCGAGGGGGGACTCAGGACGGCTTACAAAAGGCACAATTTTATGCCGGCAATACAAATAGTAAGATAATATATATCAACAACAATTATAAAACAATTAAAACAATTCAGTTATACAGCACAACTAATAAAAACCAATCTAATGATCAACGTTTGCCAAGCTCAAAATCCGTAAGTTCATTCCGCATTGTCATAATCCTATCCAATTCTAGTCGTCATTGTCCTTTGTCTGTCTGCCAGATTACCCAAAGGCCTGATCCCATATCCATGTTTTTAGTTTCCTTCTAAAAGAGAGGAGGGATGTCGATGACCTAATTTCCCCGGGAAGTGAATTCCACAGGTGAGGGGCCACCACCGAGAAGGCCTGCTCCTCGTCCCCACCAATCTCACTTGTGATAGAGGTGGGGCCGAGAGCAGGGCCTCCCCAGAAGATCTTAAACTCCGAGGCGGGACGTAGAGGAGATGCGTTCGGACAGGTACGCTGGGCCGGAGCCGTATAGGGTTTTGTAGGTCAAAACCAGCACTTTGAATTGTGCTCGGAACTGGATCGGCAGCCAGTGAAGCTGACATAACAGAGGGGTGGTATGTTCCCTGTATGACACTCCAGTGAGTAATCTGGCTGCTGCCCGTTGGACTAATTGAAGTTTCTGAACAGTCTTCAAAGGCAACCCCACATAGAGAGCGTTGCAGTAAACTATTTGGGATGTAACAAGAGCGTGGACCACTGTGGCCAGATCTGACTTCCCAAGGTATGGGCGCAACTGGCGCACAAGTCTTAATTGTGCAAAAGCTCCCCCGGCCACTGCCGAGACCTGAGGCTCCAGGCTCAACGATGAGTCCAGGATCACTCCCAAGCTGCGAACCTGCGTCTTCAGGGGGAGTGTAACCCCGTCTAACACAGGCTGTAACCCTATGCCCTGTTCGGCCTTACGACTGACCAGTAGGACCTCTGTCTTGTCTGGATTCAATTTCAATTTGTTAGCTCTCATCCAGTCCGACACAGCAGCCAAGCACCAGGTCAAGGTCTGGACAGCCCCCTTTTCCCATTCTTGGTTTGCCCCTGGAGGAAGACCTTAATGGAGGGCCATCCAGTTGGGACTTCCTGGCTTAGCTGCCCAGAGGGATACCCTTGCTGTTGCTGGAGGGACGCCAAGAGGAGTGGTAGTTCTTATAAAATTTTTCTTTGATTTGAGTCTACTGGGAGAAGGCTGGTAGCCATGTAGTGGGTGGCTTTCACAGTGTTCAACCTTATTCTCCCCACATTTAGCAGCAACTTCCCATCGCACATCGGGGGGGGGGATGCCAGCTAGCTTTAGAGTCTATCAACAGGTATAGGTTTAAGACATCCTGTGATTATTCTGCATCTTTTGTTCGGTGCTATGTTCACTTGCTTTGCATGGGCAGACTTGTGCCAAACCTATGCCAAACAGTCTGAGTGTTAATCATGATGAAATAAAAACATCTTCACAGACAAACTTGGAATTTTTTGATAGATTTGGGAGTATTGCAAGACTTAAACAAAATCATGGGGGAATAAGAGGGGTATGATGTCATCTGTACGCGGATGATCTCCAACTTTGTCACTCCTTTCCACCTGCTACTAAGGAGGCTGTTCAGGTCCTGAACCGGTGCTTGGCCGCTGTAACGGTCTGGATGAGGGCGAACAAATTGAAATTGAATCCAGACAAGACAGAGGTACTCCTGGTCAGTCGCAAGGCCGAACAGGGCATAGGGTTACAACCTGTGTTGGATGGGGTCACACTCCCCCTGAAGACGCAGGTTCGCAGCTTGGGTGTGATCTTGGACTCATCGCTGAGCCTGGAACCTCAGGTTTCGGCGGTGACCAGGGGAGCATTCGCACAGTTAAAACTTGTGCACCAGCTGCGCCCGTACCTTGGGAAGTCTGACTTGGCCACGGTAGTCCACGCTCTGGTTACATCCCGTATAGACTACTGCAACACTCTCTACGTGGGGTTGCCTTTGAAGACTGCTCGAAGCTTCAAATGGTCCAACGCTCGGCAGCCAGGATGCTAACAGGAGCGGCACTCAGGGAGCATACAACTCCTCTGTTGCGCCAGCTCCACTGGCTGCCAATTTGCTACCGGGCACAATTCAAAGTGCTGGCTTTAGCCTATAAAGCCCTAAACGGTTCTGGCC